GAATTCTAGCACCAGATTTGGCGAAATCGAGCACCAGATTTGACGAAATCGAGCACCAGATTTGACGAATTCGAGCACCAGATTTGACGAATTCGAGCACCAGATTTGACGAATTTGAGCACCAGATTCGACGAATTTGAGCACCAGATTCGACGAATTCGATGACCAGATTTGACGAATTCGAGCACCAGCCAGTAAGTGATTTTTGAGTTTGAGTTGGATTGTGTCTCCGCCCTGGGCAGAATTTCCAGAAAATCAGCAGGTTTTGCGAAATCGAGCACCAGATTTGAAGAATTCTAGCACCAGATTTGACGAAATCGAGCACCAGATTTGGCGAAATCGAGCACCGGATTTGACGAATTCTAGCACCAGATTTGACGAAATCGAGAATCAGAGCCACCAGCCCAGGGACCAGCCCCACATTTCAAAATGAAAGCAGAGCCACCAGCCCAGGCCAGCCAGGGACCAGCCCCACATTTCCAAATGAAAGCAGGGCCACCAGCCCAAACCAGCCAGGGACCAACCCCACATTTCAAAATGAAAGCAGAGCCACTAGCCCAGGCCAGCCGGGACCAGCCCCACATTTCAAAATGAAAGCAGGAGAGTGCATGGGAGATTTGATTGGACCCAGACCTTTTTTTTTTTTTTTCAATTTTCCTGGTGCTGCTTTTGTGCTCATCGATTGTGCTCACTGTTAGTGGGACTCAGCCACTTCGAACATATATATATATATATTTTTTTTTTTAAAAACCAAATGAACATCATACCGGTAACGGATGGTGAAAAACAAGGTCTGCATGCGGCTCCGCAGCTTCGGCGACAGCTCCGCAGCTTCGTGCAGGTGAATGACGAATGTTCCATTAGGCCCTGGTGGCTGGGAGCCTCACGACGGGTCGCGAAGAGCAACGCGAACAGCGCGGACTGGGGCGACTGTGGCGTCAGTTGTGTTTGTTTTCTTCAGATGTGGCGGATGATTTCGCGAGCTTGTCATGAGCGGCCCGAAATAGATCTGTAAGTTTCATGATTTCCAAGGAATTCTCCTGGTCTCTAATTACCTTTGTGCTGGAATATGTTTGGAAGTCATTATCCATTTATTTCACATAATCATGAGCTAAACTATGCCAAAGTCTTGGGAGTGCTCTACCCTGTAATGAGACCTCCTGTAGGGAGACATGCTCTACCCTCTGGCCTGCGTTGGTGGACAGTCTTGCAACCTGTGAAGATCATGGGATCGTTTTCGCATGGAAATTCCAGAATGGCATGGATTTCGCTGCTCCACTTGTCAAATCAAACCTGAACAGCTTCGGCTAGAGTCAGATCGAACAGCCCTGACATCGGGAGATGGTGGTTTCTACAAAGAGGCCTCCATTTGAACTAAACCCCATGGGGCCCATGGGCCGCATCAATCTGTCATGGCTCGGCCCTACCAGGGTAGGACTGATCTAATTAGAGATGCAAAAGGGCACGTCACAAGCTACGCTTTTGGCAAATCGCAAATTGGAAAAAGACACGGGGGATCCAAAATCATCATTTTTACCCCAATTCTCATCCTGGAAGCTTTTTCCGACGAGCCCACCATGTCACACACGCGCCAAAAACAACACTTTTGACCCATGTGCGCCGTGTTCTTGTGCTCGAGTCTCAGGTTGGCACTATGAGCTTGGGCATCGGGTTTGTGTGACGGGGTTGGAGAAGGCCAACAAGACACAACTCCAGGCAGCGATGTGACCGCCCCAAGAGCCATCCAGCGAATCCGCCTGCCTTGCTTAGCTTGACATGCGAAGTTGCAAGAGTTCGACACATGCGAAGACAAGTGAATGGAGTAGGTTGGACTTTCAAAAGGATGAACACCAGCAACTACCTACCAACATCACCACTCCAGGGACTTTTTCAACATTCCTAAGCTAGTCAAGAATTCCCTCTCTCTATCAATGAACCAACTTTGAAACCTTTGTATAGTGACACCCAAAGGAACGGATTCATCCCGTCAGATCTTGCCGTAATATATATATATATATTGTAGTGGTGTTGTCCACGACCCTTGGCTCCGGACGACGACCCACCGCCCGACCGGTGGGTCGGGCGTCCAGGTTCAACGCCCCAACACCAGTCGTCGCGCAGCCCGCCCCACCGCCGGTGTCGAGAATAGGCGGCCTTTGGCGACTTTGGGCACATCATTAAGATCGAGACGCCCTTGAATGGGACGGCGGCCACCCGGACGGTATGCTAAAAAAGAAGGACGATGCGGTTAGATGCTTGCTACATGGTATGTGTGCTACATGGTGCGTTTTTGTGTTACATAGTTACATGATATAGGATTTTCATGGGATGTTCTCCACTTTTTGTAGACTTCTCAGAAGGGTTGGTTTCATGTGATTTCTCCACCTTTAGAAGCTTTGTAGGACAACTTTGAACAGTGGATGTTGAAAGGGGAGCAATTAGAGGGACAAAAGGCCCTGTCGAAGGCCTGTTCAATCTTGTCGAGCTAAGCTGGACCATAAGCAAGGTTTCAAGGTGCGCGAGTGTCATTGGCTACCAAATCGCCCAGGTTTACATCTCCTTCAAGGACAAGAGAGATGCGGAGGAGCTGATGGGGACAGCTTGAGAATGATTTGGGCCTCTTAATTAATTGTTTGCCGAACATTTGAAGCAGTTCCACCCAACCAAATGACACACAGCACCCTCACAACCCCCACGCACACATGCAGGGTTGTTCCACCGCGCCCTTTCAGCCACTCTCTGCCACTTGAAGCACCTGGCACCATCCTTCTTTCCGGACGCCTGGCACCATCCTCCGCAACCGTTGCCGCTTTCCGCCGGTGGCGTGTTCGTTGAACCCGGTAGCAGGACGCTGTGAAGTACATGGACGGTGAGAAGATCGACGGGCAGAAGGTCGCCGTCTGCCGGGCGGAGCATCGGCCGCCGCTTCGGCGGCTTGGGCGAGACGATGGATGGAGGGGGGAAGGGTCCGGCAGGTCAAGGCCCGTGATGAAGGGCATTGGACTTTGATTTCGGATACAGGAGTTGAACTCATTGACATATCGCTTCTGAAGCCGTCAGGTGTGGGTGAAGGGTAGCTTACACCCAACGCCCTCAATAGCAACCTATCTATGGGCAGGACAAGTTGTTCGGTCACCCCCTTGTGAAAGAACCGTGAAGCCATGGCATTCGGTACTCGGGGGTGCTTGGAAAGATCTGTTGTCTCTGGATCCAGAAAAAGACCTTCAGCTTCCATCCAGCAATGCCGCTTGCTCTCAGTTTAGAATTCGGAGAATCCTAACCTGAGAAGATCCTCTTCTGAAGCCGCTCAGCGGTGTTCAAATCTGAGGCTTGCTGATTTCATTCAAACCAACCTACGTTGGCCGCTTTTTGACTAAGTTCTGCGCAAGAAGAAATCAAAGAAGCTTGCTTCATTGGACTTGAACCACTTGAAGCCCAAATGACCTCCGAAAAGGATGAGCGCCCACCATTCCGGACCGCCACAGCCGGTTACAGCATGTTACAACACTGACATATCCGCGTTTCTCACTCCGTCAGTGGATGGGTCTAAGCCCACAACCCGAGGGCTTTGCCGGCTTTGCCCCCCAGGCCAAAGAAAATTATCGCGATGGCATCCAACCTACTAGCGATGGCCTCCAACCTAATAGCGAAGGCCTCCACTTAGTAGCGATGCCCTCCAACCTAATAGCGATGGCCTCCAACCTAATAGTGATGGCCTCCAACCTAATAGCGATGGCCTCCAAACAAATGGCGATGGCCTCCACCCCAAGCGATGGCCTCCAACCTAATAGCGATGGCCTCCAACCCAGTAGCGATGGCCTCCAACCTAATAGCGATGGCCTCCAACCTAATAGCGATGGCCTCCAACCTAATAGCGATGGCCTCCAACCTAGTAGCGATGGCCTCCAACCTAATAGCGATGGCCTCCAACCTAATAGCGATGGCCTCCAACCTCATTGCGATGGCCTCCAACCTAGTAGCGATGAGGCCAAAGAAAGATGAGAAGGAGAAGGAGGATGGGGCCGAAAGGACCGAACGGCCGAAGCGAAGGACCGGGCCGCCGCCGGCCGTTCGCTTCCCCGGCGTTTCGCCGCTCCGCTCGTGGAGACGTGTGGAGAAGGAGTGAAGTCCTCCTGGCAAGTCGTGGAAGAAGTGATGGTTGAGTCGAAGTCTGCAGTGTATATAATCCCGCGCCAAACGTCACTAAGCCATGACCAACATCCGGTGCTTTTGTTGTTTTTGTTTAACTTTTGTCTTGAAGACTAGCAGTGGCAGGCAGGGTCGAGTGCTATGGGTCATACAAAACATGACAAAGTTGAAGAAAAAACTTGTTTCAGGCACCTTTCACTTTGATGAAATGGCTCCTTCCCTTTGACTTTATCTAGGAACAGCTGCAAAGCTACAATATCCTGGTTGTTCACAGGGAGTCACGCGAACTTCAGCCGCAGCAGCTGGCAGGCCTGACGTACGGACTCTTTCGAGAGAAGAGAGCAAAGGCCGGGAAACTCAAGGTTGTAACGGGAGCTATCTGGACGTGAACACGCCCAGAATATGAAAAGAACGTTGACACCTAAGAAATAATTTAGAATGAATGCTGACCCTGTTGGCGTTTTGTAGAAGTTGTTTACGCCATCTTCCGTCTGCATTTATTAATTACCGGCATCTATAGGCTTGTATTTACACACCTGCATCTATACGACACGTTTATACCCTATTGTACTTGAATGCTTAATATGTTTCCCTCAATGATACAGCTACAGCTACAGATTTTACCAACTGACCAACTGCACAAACATGTGTTTGTTCTGGAACTGCTTGCAGCCCTCACCACTGGCCGAGGCCACGAGAAGGAGCGCGACCGAGACCGGCGCCGGAAAGAAAAGTCGAGGCCCCCGAGCTCGAACGAAGTGCAGCGATTCGGTTGGGGCCTCTTGAAGTGTTCTCATCCCACCTACGCCAATGATTGCAAACTCAGCCTGGGGCATGGTGGATGATGATTTGGCAAGGGCATGTTTTGGAATGTTGGATGTGTTTTGGATCATTTCTGGAACTTGAGACAGCCTGCTCGAGCCTGCTCTTTCCTGTTTCAGGCACGAACCAGATTTTGGGGAAAAAAGACGCCTGCACCTTTTGAGTCTGAGTCCTCCATTGTATTGAAATAGGGACACTGTGATGTGTGAGCAATTACCAGGCAGACGTCTTTGAGAATCGTGAGCTCTTGAATGACATCTTTTCCTCAGGGGCGCTGAACGAAAAGGGTTTTGAAACCAGTAAACGCACCTGTTGAGTGGGACACATTCTGCACCTCAGACGATGAATCCAACATCCCAAGACAGCCGGGGAACACCGTCAAGGTCCTCCAGCAAAAGCCGCAGCCGGAGCAAGAGTCGCAGCCGGAAGAGGCGCCGGTGAGGCGCCACCCGTCCGGGTGAATCCATGATGTCCGGATGGATCCGTAATCATATCCGTCCAACTGCTGAAATGATGTTGAAATTCTACAGATTTTATGGAAAGGGGATGCAGGATGACGGCCAACATGAGGCAATCTCCATCTGCCATGTTATTGGTCAATTGGTGGTTCATTGTCCACATGTTTGGATGTCCCATTGTTTGATCCAGATCCATCCTGGCTTTAGCAGCTTCAAGGTTGTATTGCTTTGCAAATAGGAACTATATATTAGCTGGATCTACTGCGTGCTGCAAGTAAGGCATCTTTCACGAGGTTAGTACCACTTGGTGAAAGCAGAAGAGCATCATATGGAACATGGACACGTTTAGAGTGGGTGGTTTGCAATGCTCAAGTGGCCGATTCTTGGCCATAAAGCCTTTGAACGTAGGCTCCGCACTTTCCTGCTTTCCTCACGGATTCCTGCCCCGCAGGTGAACGTGGGCTCATCCGATCTGAACGATGCTGAGCAACGAATGAGCTCCAGGAGCTCCAGTCTCCTCTGGTTGAGTTGTGATTCTCATTAACCCACACGGCAGTGCTTTTTCATGTGAGCGCGAACTCGCTTGGTGGAGTTGCTCGGATCGTTTCGGGTGGGTGCACCTGTCACTCGTCGGATCTACGATCCTGACCGTATCACTGGCAAGTAGCTAGCCACCAGACCAACAGAATGCTCAATCAAGAAAAGGACTACGGAATGACGCTTGGGGTGCAGGAGGCATGGACTCCACAAAAAATAGCACAGGAGCAAAGGCAGCATCGGTTTTGATTATGCCATTGTTGCAAAAACAACCATATCCGCTGCTGGGGACCACAGGGGCCGGGCGTTGATCGCAGCAACTGGCCGACTTGGATCTGCAGTTCTGCAGTGACCTACGGCTCTCCGTCCGAGCATTTTTGTTCTCCGTCCGCTGCAGTTTGACCATCAACAAATTCAAGACAAGTGTAGCAGTTGTTGATTCTGATCATGGTATGCCCAGAAGATCAAGAGAAAAACCTGACCGACTGAGCTTTGAAGTCCAAGAACGTCCTATTCCAAAGATCATTTCTTCGAGAAATGCTTTCGCAATATGTCAATCAGGATCGTTTCTCCAAACATTCCTTCCATCTTATCGAAATGTCCACAGGCTGTCTTTCTTTCCCCATCAAGCCCACCAAACAGCTTGACATCGCCGAACCCACGGTCTTAGGTTCGGCCGCCTTGATGGGGATGACCCTACTCTGAGGGTCACAGCTGTTTCACGGAAGTTTCACCGCACAAAGTGGCTGTGGGTTAGACTAGACCTCACAAGCAGACCTCCTGTTACAAGCCTGGTTAGACGACAAATAGACCAACAACCTCAAGAAACCCGCTGGTTGGAGGGTCTCCATTCCAATACGCACCCACATGTCTTGCGAGCAGTAACTTGAAGGGCCATGCTTCTACCCCTCGGACACTTTTGTGATATGAGAAAAGCCAACAAACAAGGATGCAAAATATAGACGCACAATGCTGTAATGGAGGCTCTACACGGAAAGAGGATGCTGAGCGGTTACTTGCTACAGGTCCAGCAGTATTGTTGAGATTGATTTACGAACGTCACAGATGCATTACCTTGTCTTGCAGACTATTGTTTCACAAGTGATGCATTGCAATTCAGCTTCAAAGTGAATGTGCCGGCTTGTCGCGGTGTTGCTGTCCTCAGGTAGATCAAAAGCAACCACACTTTTCCGCATATGACTGTCATATTATGACCTGTCTGGAACCAAAACACCCCTGGCACTAGTTCCTCTCCTTCACTTCGTGGCTGGTTCAGTCGCCTTTTCAGTACTTGGTCCAAAAACCACTTCGTTCCATTTATGGTGATGAGCTTCTTTAGGTTCGCCGGTGCTGATCCAGATCCCCGGTAAGAGCGGCCGGGAACTTCGCAGATCTTCCACGCAGGCAGCCCAATATCGAGAGATGCCATACTGCTATGCCTCAATGGAGAGGTGCCTTCACCGGTGAGAGGGGGAGGAGTTGGGAGTACGAAGTGAAGATCGGGAAGGACCGGGGAGGACCTGGAGGAACAGGTTGTAGCAAGAGCTTAAGCAAGAGTTTGTTCTTCTCTTAAAAAAGGAGCTCCTTGCTACCAGTAGTAAGGCCCTTGTTACTAGTAGCGATGCCCTTGATTTTTTTTCCTGGCATTTCTTTTGGCAGACTTTTGTCAGTTTAAAGCCACTCTTCACAGGGACAGGGTCGACTCGATTCCAAGGAGGGATACATCCCTCCAAAAAGGACTTGTCGGGAAGTATCCCCACAAGAACAAACACCACCCACCGTCTTACCGTGTTTTTTAGCTCGCTGCCAGCCGGCCGAGCCTGAGCATCCCAATCTACAGCCAAGCTGTAGACAGGACTCGACCATAGCTTGCCACCCACGACTCCAATGACCTTCCTCACTTCATTCATCCGAGCATCCGAGTGTGCCATCCAAAAGACCGAGGAGATGCCTCCGAATCGACCGCGATCCCGTGGATGCCTTCGCCGCAGGAAGCCCTTGATGCCTTACAACCCCAATGCCTTTCGATCGCGCCTCGCAGCACCTCGGCTGGCGAAGATGGGGTGGGGCCGTCGATTCAGGGCAAGGTCATGCGAGGTCTAGGTGAAGTCGGTGGGTAGTAGGGTTGTATTTTGGGGGGTATTTGTATCGATTTTTGGCGTGGACATACACCTTTCTTCGCTTAATATTCTTTCATGCATTGAGAGTGCTCTCCTCCAGCAGGTATATTTTGTGGGGGTCTCTTCAGGCCTACACCCCAAACAAGGTCGGGGCAAGAAAAGACTATTTTGGATAGGGAGCCTTGAAACACATGGCTTTTTGAGCCATCCACCCTGAAGAACAAGACCTGCTGCTGGTGTTCCGAGCCGGGGCCACTGATAGCATTCATCGAGAAGAATGGAATGGATATCGATGAACCAAACCACGCGATCTGCGAAACCGCAGTTATCTGCAGTTTCGCATGCAGCTTTTCAATCGCGGGTCCATGGCAAAGACCTCTCTGGGAGGTCCGGGTGCTTTGATGCTTCGATGCGCCACGGTCGGCTGTGGGTCTGGTGACATTGGTCCACTGAACCAGTAGTAAGAATGCTCCGTTCGTAGCGATGCCAGGAGCCCCTAGTAGCGTCCTTGCTCCTAGTAGTAAGGCCAGGAGCCCCGATCGTAGCTTCTTGTTAGTGTCAAAGGAAGAACGTTTCCTTTGGGTGGAACTACGGCGAACATGGCCAGGTGGATGATGCGCCAGTGCCGTACAAAAATGCATCAACCATCGAGTTCAATGATGGCATCCACACCTGTCACAAGAGGAGGCCGGTGGTGAGAAACGTCGCATGCGGTGTGCCGGTGGTCAATCTACCTACAGATCCTACTACTCTAAAGACTCTAGGGCCCAGGTGAACCTCTTGAGCTTCAGCAGGAATAGGTGTAAAACAAGAAAGCTTTCCAGGTTGGAGGCCATCGCTAGGACCGGTGGAGGCCTCTGGACCGGTGGAGGGTGAACCTCTTCTGAGTGGTGAACCTCTTCGCGGCGAGTCCACAGGATTGATTCGACATGCTGCAAGCAGCACCATGAATAGACAAATCCCAGTGGAGCATCCCTCCTGAGGTTCCGAATGAACTTCGCACCCTCTCTGCAGGCATGCCCATGTCGTGACCATGTGGGAAGGGTCATTTCAGCCCAAAAGTGGTGCTCCTGTGCATTCAAGGGGAGGGCTGAAGTTCGAAGTCATTGGAATCACCCGGTTGCAAAGCCATTGGCTGCATACCGCAACAGATGGTCCCCCCCCCTCCCACAGACCTCCAGCTCCGTAAAGGCTCCGGTTTCGGACTCTGCGCGGCCAGGTTTCAAACCACCAACCTGACCTTCCACACCGGAGAGCCATGTGACCCCAGGACGGCGGGGGTGGGCGATGGAAGCAGCAGCTCGCAGCTAAGGGTCCATCAGACTCATCTGGTGCCGTGGCACCCGACCATATTGTTGGGGGTCAGGGCCTGTCAGGGTAGTGGTGGATGGGGGTGGTACATTGAGGACAAGCGGAGTGGCGACAGCTCGTGAGGACAGTGATGGTTAGTGATGGCTGATGCTTGGTGGTTGCAGAAGCAAGAGACGCATGTGTTTCAGTCGAAAGAGGTGGATCAAGGAGTTGAGCTGCAACAGGAGGGCTTGATCTTGCCAGAGATGGTTCATTGAGTGCACCAGTGTCATTTCTCCACATCCATGGTCCATTGAGTCCCTGAATGAGCCTTTGTGGTCTTCAGAGGGTAATCTAAATCATGAGTGTCATGTTCAGTGTCATGTTCATCTTAGACTCAGTTTCCCGTCAAGTTTTGGACAGCTTCGTTGGTCACCGCTCATAATTTCAGCAAACCACTTGGGCATCGGAAGCTCTGAACCCTTGGAAGAGAAGGGTGGTCTACCAGATCTTGGATTATGAGTGATTATATATGTGGGCCTGCCGCGCAACTGGGTCTTAAAATTCCTCGTGATGGTGGATTTGGACGCCTGGGCCAACCAAAACGAACCAAGCGGGGGCCACAAAGAACAGTCCACCCAAACAAGGAGTTTCGATCGAGAAAAGCCATGATGGATTTCTCCAGTTCGCCCTTCGGATGGGCCGAACTGGGCCATGTCGGGCCTTCCACCCGTGTGTCGACCTCTTTGGGCCAGGAGCAATCAGGGAGCTATTGCTGAAGAAACTCGCTTCCGACGGTTTATGCAGGCGGTTGGTTTAATACACAAACCGTGCATGGGTGGGTGTGAGTGGGTATATCGTGGCTTGCAAGAGGGTATTTGATGGTATTTGATCTTGATTGATCTTGTACAGTTCTTTTCCAGGCCATTGACCTTCGTAAGCTGCATGCCTGTTGGTGTGACCCACTGAATGATCTCATCAGCCCCTGCATCCCGTTAAATGAGAATGGACGTCTGCAACAGGGTCACCTGGTCTGTCTTCCGACGTCTTTGACATCCGAGCAGAGTCTTCTTCAAGGAATCGGACCAGATGGTGACAGATGTGCTTGGTGTGACCCTTGTCCCACACTTTCAGCCTACACTTCCTCCAACACTCCCTCCACTACCACACCCAACACCTGAGTGTCTGACATCATCTTCAGCTTGCTGTCCCGTCCTCCGCAGCCAGACATCGCCAGGCGAAATGACAGCGATCAGCGCAGCGATCGCGCAGCTGCGCAACGATCGCTGAGGCCTCCACGGTCTGGGGCCAGTCGGACGGTCTGGACGGTCCCAGTTCTCCAAAGACAACGGTCCCTGAACCCCGGCTGAGCTCTGAACCGTGGGAGCTCGCTCGAACGCGCCAGGGCGAGCTCGGTCTCTTCAAAAAAAGAGACTACCTGGTGGGTTGGTGCCATCTATGTTCTTGACGAATTGGTTCATTCATGGATGTTCATGGTGGATATTCTTTGAAGTCTGAGGAGTGTGGGTGGATTCATTTTTCTTCCTTCTGCAGATTCACGGTGTTCCTTTTGTCAAGTAGCGGAACAAACACTTGACAGCAGCAGGTGTTTTTTTGGCTTTTCGAGGTATCAAAGTGTGCGTGAGTGGGACGGGAACGGTGGATATACTTGCAAACCACTCTAGGTTTGCGGAGGTTATGTTTAGAGGAAAGGCCATGTTGAAAGAACGTTGCAACCGTTGTGGCACGGTCACAACAATGCGACGATGAAGGTCTTGTGGGACTATAGACATAAGATGATTCCAGATGTCCAAATCTAAAAAGAGACAGACCAATCTTCACTTACTCTCAATGGATTTGAAGGTCTTGTGGCACTTGTGGCGTGTTGTTTTGATTCCACACCCTTTTCAGCGTACCATGCGTCTCCAGCAGAGTACCATGCATACAAAAGCATCGAGTCGTTCTCGGCGGAGGCAGCGAGCCATGCATGTTTAGACGAATCGACATTTGGTGCTCCACGCTACTTGGGCAGATGAAAGGCTTTCAAATTACACTCTGACTCACTAACATGGAAGTGGAACACCCCAGTAGTCTTCCAAGGGACCATTTTCCACTTCGATGTTAGTGAGTCAGAGGGTATATGTGCCAGATGTTTGCCACAACAAAACACCAAAATGAAGAAGCAAGCAACCTTCCCAACCATATACTAGTCCATTTTGTTGCATTTGGGGGTGCACAGTCCAGAACTGGTAGATGTTCACGAACGAGGCCTGAAAGGTTGCGAACCCCCTAGTCGGACCCCAACGATTCAGGCTAAGCGTCCTTGCTTCTAGTAGTAAGGCCAGGAGTCCCGAACGTAGCATCCTTGCTCCTAGTAGCGATGCCAGGAGCCCCTAGTAGCTTCTTGTTCATATGCTTTGGTTACCGTATGAATCATAACAAGAGCTTCTTGAAAGCCCTATCTTGTGGGTGTGGGTAGGTGTGGGATGGTGTGGGTACACAGGTCACCTGAGCCAATGCAAAAGGTTCGGATCATCTCTTTTCTTCTGGAAGAAGGGTGAGCTACGGTTTTTTCCACGATTGAGAGATCCTCCGATCCTCCCACGAGAAAATGGTCTCTCAAGGTATCTTGGCGGTGTCCTTTGTCCATTACAGTCTCGAAGGTTCACTAAAAAAGGCCGGAAATCTCTGCTGAACATTCACATGTTTGTGGACTTTCAAAAAAAGAGTTGATTGCCTTAGATCGTCACGCGCGGTCTTTCGGACACCACCTCCTCTATGAGAAACTGGTTTCTTTGTGAACAACTCCAGGCCGTCAGACCCAGGTGACCAAGCCAGTCTGTAATTTGCAAATCTCCAAGAAAAACAATCCACCACTCGGTCTGTGGGCTCATCGTTAAGGAAGAGGGCCTGCCCTACCTCGCTAGTTTGTTCTAGCTAAATCACCACTCGAACCGGCAAACGAACCTTTCGAACCCTTCGATGTGTCTGCGTATGCGTTGGAGCCAGTAGCAGGGCGGCGAAGATCCCAGTGGTCTTCGCAGCGGCGCGGCAAAATGCTGCGCAAACCATGCAGGGCTCTCAAACACTGGGGCCCTGCCCATAGGCCAAGGCCAGCAAATCCAGTGATCATCCTGTTTGAATTTGTCCGAACGATCTCCTTGGAGTGTCCAATTTGCCCATGAATGATGGTTTGGATATGTTTGGAGGAGTCTGTTTCATGATGTTTCAAATTTTTCGATGCATATTTCAGATAAGGTTTGGTGAGATTTCGCATGTGTATGTAGCAGGAAACTGCAGTGACTCTTTGTGGATTTGCTGTGTTCGCTCCTTGGTTCTAATTGTGCCCATCTGGGCACCTTATGCACTGTACCACCAGGCTGATATTCGCTCATGCAAAGCCGCATGAGTTCACTCTGAGAAGCTCAAAAAGATGAGAAGTTCAAGTGTAATAGCAATGGCCTCCAACCTAATAGCGATGGCCTCCAACCTAATAGCGATGGCCTCCAACCAAATTGGGATGGCCTCCAACCAAATTGGGATGGCCTCCAACCTAATAGCAATGGCCTCCAACCTAATAGCAATGGCCTCCAACCTAATAGCAATGGCCTCCAACCTACTAGCAATGGCCTCCAACCGATAGCAGTGGCCTCCAACCCAATAGCAATGGCCTCCAACCGATAGCAGTGGCCTCCAACCCAATAGCGATGGCCTCCAACCTAATAGCGATGGCCTCCAACCTAATAGCGATGGCCTGCAACCTGATAGCGTGGCCTCCAACCTAATAGCAATTGCTCAAATATGGCAAGCCAATGCAAAGCCCATTGGTTTTTGGTTGTTTGTTCTATTCTCCAACACACCTCAGATGGTTGGACAGGCTCCAGGGCGACGGTTCCATACTGCAGATACGAAAACACGAGAAAGATTCATTTACAGTGTATATATATATATATATTGATGAACAAAAAGGGAAGCAAAAGCACTTCATTCCAACATGGAACACCGCTATATCTAGCCATAGTTTCCCCTAGTCCTTACGTTTACCCGAGTGCGTGTTTTTGGGCTGGTTGGACGATGCTGAATTCATCCACATCAGGCCCGTGAAATAGGTCTCAAGTTGGCCTTCTTCGGGGTTCCCAAACACCCATCAGGATGAAGCCAACTAGAGATTTCAGGGAGAGTGATGCGTGGAAAATCAAGGATTGGCTGCGGCTACATTGGCACAGCCTGATCATTTGCATTCCATACCGCCTGGCTCAGCTTACAATTGCACACATGAAGGCATGACACCTCGCCCCCTCGACAGCATGGTGTCCCTTTTGAGGCTTCTTCGGCAAAAAACCAGCAGTCTCCAAATGGACACAAAACTACTGTGGACGTGCCTGACAAGCCATCAGTTTTGGGATGTCACCTCCCCTCCAGTCGCAACCGAACCTGGAACCTCCTCCCGGTCGGTCGATGCTGCCAAGCTGGCAGTGGGAATGGGTCGTTTGGAGCCCGAGGGTCGTCCACCATGTAGCGAGGAACCGAACCGACACCTGGGTAGGTCTCCGCTGCATCCTTGTGAGACTTGCAGCCAAGTGGGGTGCCTGACCTCCACCTTCTGGGCCTTCTTTTGTACTGTAGGTGCCTAGTTAGATCACCTTTTTGAGGAGGCAGAATCGCAGAATCGATGCATTTTCCTTTCCCCATGCCAAGCTAGACTCCACCATTCCTCACATGGGTTCAAACTCATTCATCACCTGAGCACCTTGGCACCATGGCTGGGGACCTGGATCTGCCGCCTCCGGGCCCCTTTCTGCATTCCGGCCTCTTCCGCAAACGCACCATCGTTGAGGCGGGTGGCCCCTGCGCAGTTGAGGAGTAGTCGGGCTGCAGCCATATTGGGATAGCCATGTAGGGGCTCTTTCGGAGTTCTCTAACCAAAAGCTGGCTCTTGCAGTGAGAATTGCCCACTTAGAGTCACACAAGGATATACCGAGGTTGACGGTCCAATTACCCGATTCTCTTAGAATCCAGACGGTAGCTCCTTTGATCACCCCTTTTCATTCGTTTTCGTGTCCATGAGGAAAGCCATTTCGCCACTCAACTCACTTGAATCACATGCAGCTACTACCGCAGTCATCTCTACATCCCACCACTAGACACGTTGCAAAGCAGCACCAATCTGTGAGTTCAACAATTTCCCAACCTTAGACATTTCACGACGTGAGCAAAAGGCCTTGAAACACCAAGTCTTTGGATCCCGGCACTGAGCAGCTGACCTCGATGCTGAACGCGTATCTCATTATATAGTGGTGGGTTCGCACGAGGAACTTCAAACACCTCTATGATGAAAAGCGCACACATTGTAAAATCAAATGCTTTCGCCAAGCCAAAAACACAGGTCGCGAAGACTCTGCGAACGCCCCTGCGAAGTAATAAGAAAATATACGTACAATAAATCAGGAATTAAAAACAGTATAGGCGGTTTTCGAAGCTGCTCACATTGACTCTCCCAATGACCGGCTTAGCAGTGAACTTCGTTGCAAGAATCCTGGGCAAAATGTGCCAAACAACCACCTCAATCTACCGATTACCTTGGTAAACCACCCTAATTAATCGACTGATTACAATGTGCCAAACCACCTAATCGTTGCAAGAATCCTTGGCAAATGTCAACTGCTGTTCGGCCCGGCTGAGACGCCTGACGTTCGTTCAGGTCCATCGCTGTGTGCAGCGCTTGAAGAGTGGGGAGGATGTGCGGGAGGCCTGGGTGGACTGGGTGGATTGCTTTGGAAAAAGTCTCCAATTCAGTGTTTTTCTCGGAGCCGTCATAGTCATCTGTAACACAATGTCAATTTGCACGTGGATTGGGTTGGTTAACCAAAGACTCATTGGGTTGCAGGGTCACTCGCGGGCCTTCCCCTTCACGATCGCGACGGGCCTTCCCCCCCAAAGGTCCCCAGCATCAAGCAGACTTCCTCCGGTGTTCCTCGGGGAAACCCATGAAAAAGTCATTGAAACCCACGGATTGGGAGCTTGCTGAAGGTAGAAACTCCAAGTCCCTGAACCAGCAACAACATACACTGGACAGCTTGGCAGAGTATTTGTTTTTGGTTGGATTTTCCATCCGGCTTCATCCCAAGTGGGTATTTTTGGGACCGTTTTTCGGGTCGGAGATAAACACAAGGCCTAATATGTCTTGAGGATTTGTCTTGGTTCTTCCCTCTCAATGCTTGAGATTGTAAGTGGCTGAGTGTCAGGGAGTGTACGACTCCGCCGATTCGGCTCTAAATGACTGGCTGGCCTTCTCTGAAAGTAGAGAAGTAGGTAGAATTGGCCACCACAAGTGATCTCAAGGATATCTTTTGCATCTTCCATGCCATGAAAGAAGAGGTGAAAGCACAGGCTCTCTCACCGGGTACTCCATGGGTCGTCTTGCTCCGGGTGAGGTCCTTGACCGCCTGGGTGACTTCGTGGTGGATGGCCAAGTCCTACAACAGACCAGCATCGCTCAGGAAGTCAAGAAATTCTCGCGGGGCCCCCAGGCCCGAAGGGACCTCCACTTGGTCCATCAAGGGAGATCCTTTTTATTTCAGGAACGTGTGGGCAGTTGGTACAGTCGTGCATTCTTGGTCTGGGTGTTCTTTGGCGGGCATTCTAAGTCGCCAAGAGTTGTTGCTGATACACAGTCTTGCAGATTTGCGATGTGAAGCACGGTGACACCTTGGCATTGAAGCCATTTCGTTTCAAGCAAGTGTGATCCAAGAGCTCTCTGCTGCCTCGTGCAAAGCTTCTTCTGGACTGTCACAGGTGATTTTGTTTCTTTTTGCAATTTGCACACTCAAGATGATATGGGGGAGAAGCCAATCCCTTGTACTCAAAAAAGTCAGCTAGCTAGCATGGCTAGCATCATTCTTCTGCTGCCGAGGAATTAGCAGGGGGGTAACTAGGGGTACCGGTCAAATGATCGAATTGTCAATTAATATGTCACACGAATTCCCCTACCTCAAAGGGAATGTGAATGAACATTTGTCCATGTTTCCATGTCCCATTTTACATCAGGTTTCACATCACCGCAGGTGCACCTTCAAGTAGCAAAAGGTCCGAGTGCTACCAAATTTGGTAGCGGAGGCCCGAGCCGACGCCATAGGACGATCTGGGGCATTTTCATTTTGTGTATCACCTATTTGCACCTGCGTGAATTTACTTTTTTGTTTTGTGCTTGTCTTCGGTTGCCCGTACAAAACCGGAATCCGACTACGCTGGGCTGGACAGTGCATTGAGCATTGGACAACAGACCTGAAGGCGTGTTGCTTGGAACAATACAACAGTTGCACCAAGTCTTGCATTCATCACATTGCCGAACATTGCACAAGTTGCTACATTGAGCATTGCAGTGGACATTGTGTTGAGCATTGGCACAAAGCAGTTGTTGGTATGTCGTTGCCACAGACATCTGGTATTCCCCTCACTGAGTACAGGAAGGATTGTCCACCGGGATGGGGCCCGGGAGACAGTGACTATCCTCTCAAACTGTACTTTGAACGTCTTCGTATGTGGTACAGGTTGTATGATGGTGCTGACGAGACAGTTGGACCATTGATTGCTGGACGCTTGGTTGGTCGTGCACAGACCATTGCATTACAGCTTCGACTACCTGATCCACACGGCAATGTTGACGTTGGAGACGCTGCATTGGTTAGGTTGGCTGTAGATGAAGTGAGAGATCCAATGAATCCCAACATCATCTTACAACAGCACATCCCTTCTGGTGTCTCGGCCTTGTGCAGGGCCCTGAGAGACGCATTTGGAGAGGCAGACCAACTGCAGGTCACCAAGTCGTTGGAAGAGTTCTTCGATTGCCGTCGAGGCCGCCTCAGTTTGCAAGAGTTTTCAGTTGAGTGGTCAATGAAGCTGGATCAGGCTATCCTACATGCTGGACTCCAACTGAATGCAGTGGCTCGAACATTCCTGTTTTTCAGGGCTGCTCAACTCCCTCAGAAACATGTCGATGATATCATGATGCAGCTACAGGGCGACATGAACCGATTTGATGAAGCCAGAGCCCTAGCACTCCGCTTAGCTCATCGTCAGCCTGAAGGAGTATCCAGTCACTATGAGGCAGCCGATTACTATGGTATCGAAGACGAATATGAGCAAAGTTGGCACACCGGAGTTTCCACCTATTGGGATGAATACCATGACGCTGATGATGGCTACACAGCAGATTGGAAAGATTATGATTCCGGATGGTCACAATATGCTTTTGAGGCTGAAGAGTTCTATGACCCTGAGTCGTACTACGATGAAGAAGCATGGTATGATGAGTCATGGAACGAAGAGCCAGAGACCACAGAAGAAGCCGCACATGTTGATGATGAGAACTTCTACCAGGGCGGCAAAACATTCAATCTTGGATGTTCGATCTGTGGTTCAAAATGGCACTCAGCCTCTACATGCCCGATGTCAAAAGGTTCCAGCAAAGGATATGGCAAAAGCAAGGGCAAAGGCGGCAAGAGCTTCAGCCGCTTCGGAAAGGGCAAAGGCAAGAGCAAAGGCAAGCACAAGGGACAGTTTCACCGACCATATGGACAAAGTTTCAAAGGACGAGGCAAGGGCTACGGCAGAAAAGGCTACTGGACATCGGGTGAGTCTTCACCCCAACGTCGCCAAGAACAACAGTTGCGACATGCCAGAGAAGGACTTCAGTTGAATTTGATGTCCAGTCCCAGTCAAGCCGTGAATCCTCCAACAGCCGTGACAAGCCCATCAATGACCTCAGATGAGCCGGATCTACTACGACTTCCTCGACCTGTCAGGTTATCCACGCCTCCTGATGGAACCAGTGGAGGAGGAGCAGAAGCCACGTCAGCAAGCTCAGCCAAACACCTGAATTTTCCCGTGCAGGTGAACCAGAGCAGTGAGACTGACACCATCAACTCCTATCACCTCATCCATGGCATCAAGCGCCGAGGCCTGCTTGTGGACCCAGGCGCAGCTGCGGGGCTCATCGGATCAGAAACCCTTCGTGACCTGATCTGTGAATGCCTGACACCTCAAGGACTACAAGACCAGATCCAGTGGCGAGAACGAACCACATCCGTGACCGGGATCTCAGGCAAAGGTGATGAGACCATGGCAGAAGTCTCTTTTCGATTTGCTCTGGGACCTGAGAAGACTGGGACGTTCACAGGAGATGTCCTAGGTGGTGATGGAAGTCTTTGTCCTCCGTTGATCAGCAATCCATCACTTCGAAGCCTCAGAGCAGTCATTTGTTCGAGCTGGTTTGAGAATGGTGACGGCCTCCTAGTCTGTCCCTCCGATGATGGCAAGCCTGAGAATTCCACCATGATCAGGCTGCTCTTGACAGACAGTGGCCACTACATCATTCCGATGGATGTGTCACCCTCAGTCAAAGACACCGAGCAGAAGAAAGCGAGAACCTTCCTCCACAGCACCTTTGAGATCACCAGCCAACAATGGCAAGATGTCCGTGCGCAGAACAAATACTGCTTCAAGGTTGACCAGAATGTGAACGACCAGGAAGACCTTGAGCGGAATGAAAAGAAGAATGATTCAAATACTTTGACCACATCAATGGCCGAAAACGCAACTATGCCCGTGATCCAGGCTACATCGTCGACGCCATCTTCTACCAGTTCGACTATGCCCGTGATCCTGGCTACACCTGATTCTACATCCCCTACAACTGGAACTATGCCCGTGATCCTGGCTACAACGTCGCCGTCTTCAACTACCAGTTCGACTTTGCCCGTGATGACTGGCAAAGACCATTGGAAGAAAGTTGAAAACCAATGGCATCGAATCCACGTGCGACCCAGGACAGCTTTGTTCTCGCCAGCGCACGGCAAGTTTCCAGACATCTTGGACAACATCTATGAAAAGAGAGAGACTCACGTCCACTACGTGAATGGCGAGGATGACACCATCCTTGACACTTGGCAAGTTCCTGAGGCACAACAACCACTACGACAGAAGTGGACTGGCGTCACGATCTTTGAGATCAAACAAAAGGAGCAGACATGTGATGTCGGCGAGATCTACATTGGCGATCGTGAGGACCACAATTTTGCCGAAGATGAACTTGCTGCCTATGAGAAAGACACGTTTCCAGAGCACATCACCGAAGAGAAACGCAGATATCTCGAGAAGTTCTACAAAGCAGTCCCAGAAGAGTTCTACACCAAGTTGAAGAGGAAGCCTGTCACTCCGGCCACATGTCTCTCATGGGCGAAGAAACAAAAGGGCAGGCATTTCCACTTCTGGGAACTATGCTCAGGGAGCTCAAGACTCTCACTTCTTGCGCTTCTTTCTGGACTGTGTGTCATGTTTCCCATCGACTTCAGATATGGATGGGACATCGGCTATGCACCACATCAGCAGCTTCTTCGGCAAGTCGCCAATGAGCTAGAACCGGACATCTTGTTCGGCTCACCGAATTGCCGACCATGGTCAGTCTCTTCCAACCAGAAACCTCCTGAAGTTCGACAGCAACTGCAGAAGGAAGAAGAACCAGGACTACAACTATTGGAAGAGCTTTGTCACAAACAAGTCCAAGAAGAACGCTATTATCTTCTTGAACAACCATGGTCATCGGCACTTTGGAAAAGACTTGAAAAGATTCCAGGAACTTGCTCACGAACAGATCAATGTCGTTTTGATGCCACAGATGAACAGCAGCAGCCAATCCTGAAGCCAACTGGCCTACAATCCAATGGAACACTTCATCAAAGTGTCAAAAGATGTGGAGGCCATAGTCAACCACATGGATGGCTTCAAGGTCAGACGAACGGATGCAATCGCACCACCATTGCTGCTGTCTATCCAATCAAGCTATGCCGAGCTATCCTGAAGGATGTGAAGAAGATGATCAAACTTTCCACAGAAGTCCTTTATGGATGTGAGAGATGTCAGCTTGGCAGATGGGCACCAAAACATATGGAACATTCATTTCTCCCGGGAGACTGTCGATATGGACGATATCCCAAGGAACATCCCAAGTCCAAGGAAAGCAAGGAGGAGCAGAAGAAGACAGATCTTCGAGAAAACTTCAGACAAGAAGCCCTGTCGTCAAAGAAAGTCAATGAGGGCACTCTGGCGACCATTCCAGAGATCGGCCTGACGACAGAGCAGACTTCATTGCTGAAGTATAGTTTGATGAAGATCCTCCAATACAGCATGGAAGAGTTCGATGATCCTGAAAGCAAGAACCCAGACTACATGCACTGGGTCACCGATCCCGTTGTGCTTTCATGGACCAGAAGCATCTTTGAGAACCACCTCAAAATTGCAGGCATTTGTGCTCTGATCAAACCATGGACTAAGCCAACTCCGACACCAAAGCTTCGTCCAGACTCAGCTTTCCTGAGACTCATGATCAGAGGCACGATCGCACAATGGAGGATGATGCCCATCGAGGATCTTCGAGATCTGAGTCACAGTCAGTGTCATGAACCAGTCGACTTCGATGAAGACTGGCTGATCTGCTTCTTCGGCGTTTATCCCTCCTTG